TAAGGCTATTCTGCATCAGAGCTGTAATTAGTCATTTTGATACTAACAATGGAGTTTATAATTTCACACCAGGCTGATCATCACTTGAAACCATTCCTTTCAGCTCAGTACATCCCCTGTTAATTGGAATGTTTTGCTAGTGGTGTGTTGCCATTAAGATACAGTCATGTCATTATGGCCATTAGGCTCAACCTCTTCTCTTGAATACAACCTGGGAAACAGCCATCCGGAATACATGCCTATGGATAGCTGAATTCAGATATACTAATGGTCCACTGAGAGTTTTAGGTGAGATAAAAGAATTAGTATGTAAAATGTTGCAGTCTCTCCTGCACATGAGGTCAGATTCTGCAATTACTGTGGTCATATCTGGACTTGGAAAGCTGAGAATTTATAATATCTGCCTGCAGCAAGTTTTTAAAAGCAGAAGTTTCACTATACATAAAGGGCTAAATCCAGCCAATAGTTGAATGCTAAGAATCAGATGATTTCCAAAGATGTAGCTCAGTTCATAATTTATCCTCAAGTACTTAGAACATATTTCAGACTTTTTAAAGCTGTTGCTCATATCAACTATGATTGTAGTTTCACCTATGATTATGTGCATTTGACATTTCCCATTATTAGATCCTCATTTCAAATACAAAAATGTGAAACTTCAGTTATATCAGATTAAATTTTCCAGTTATGGTATTTCCTTGGCCTGATTTTATTTAATTTCCATTTTTATGCAAATGCCAGATAAAACCACCAGCTAATTTCAAAAAACAAGTTACTATAAAATATGCTGCCATCAATGATGAAAAGTCTTGCTCTGCTGCTTCAGTGCTTTGAAAGCTGGACTTAAATTCAGCAGGAGAGGTTTGTGTGCCATATATATGTCTTTTTGCCTTTAGCTGTCAGTCCTTCTAAAGTCAGGCAAGATCTGAAAAAAAAGGTACATCACAGTTTTGCCACTAAAAATTCTGAAAACTGTCAATGCTAGCTGAGCTCCAGATTCCCAGTTGACCAGATGGCAAGTGTACCATCATGGTACAGCTCAGGGCTACTAAAACCAAGTTACAATATCCTTGTAAGGACTTCTCCCACCTGATGACCTAAGGCAGGGTCATAATCCAGATCTAAAAGCAGAGAGAATTTGTCTTTCCTGTAGCCCCAGTTGCCCTCCCATGAGGACCCACTAGCTAAAGCAGAGAAGTTCAACTGAAAATTGAAATGAAACAAGTGCCATATATTAGAGACAGAGAAAGGAGTATGACAAAGACATGGAATTAGGTGGACTAGCAATGGATAAAAACGCTTCTGGTGAGACTTGTTTGGAAGGTGGTGCTGGGAAGAAATGGGTATGGATATCTGGGAAACAGAACGAGCAAGGGTCACTTAGAGAAAGGGTGCTGAGACTGGGAGTTGGGTGAACTGGAAGCCCCTCTGGAAGTACAGCAGACAAGAGAACCTCAAATGAGAGGGTAAAATAGCAGGGTAGGTACTGGAAATGATAACCCCAGGAATGAAAAAGGGGCAGAGATGGTAGAAAGGTAGATGGTGGGTGAGAGGAAGAAACAGAGCAGAAGAAGGACCAGGGGAAAGTCAGCATAGTTAGATGAGAATAGACAAATGGGAATTTTTTTGTTGAGGAAAAAGCTGGGAAAATAAAGCCTTGTAGGGCAGATCCACTAAGGAAAGAGACCAGGGAGGACAGAGCCCTGAGCAGAACAGTGGTCTGTGGCATGGCGGGAGCTTACCGAATGTAGATGAGCATCCATGGAGGTCCAAGCAGTCTGGGAACCAAAGGAAAAGGTTTAGAATAAATACAGATGTAGAGGCAGGGAAATACTAATCTTGGCACATGGATGCTGAGAATGTGCAACTGGAAAAGGATTTGAACAGGCAAGGAGACTGAGACTGTGTGTCAAGAAGGGGGAAGACCAGGTGTAAGGAAAGAAGATGGGAGTTAGAAATTAGTCTGCCTCAGAGAAAGAGCCCTCTAGGTGAATAATTTTGCAAGACTTTGTGTGGGCTTGTTTGACAGACAGAAAAGTCAGTACCAGATAGCCTCCATATAAATCTCAAATGATCCCTACAATATCAACTATATTTTCCAATTTAGTAAAATATTTCCATCTACCAACAGAAATGCAATCATATATTACAACAGAATCACATAAATGAGACAACATATAAACACATAAATAGAGACAACATTCTCTTTTTATTTTTTCTTGCTATTTTCTTTTCAACCTTGAGAATACTTCTTGCATGCCAAATATGAGAAGTAAAAATCAGAAGCAGTCCAATGGTTGTCTTTGAAAATACTGCTCTTTTGTAGGCACCTAAAAAGGTAAACATCAAAGCATCCTCTTCTCTTCTAAATTACCAACTTGTGATTTCTATGAATTTTGCCATTGATTTGATTTAGGTAGGATTTCACACCATATTTCTTCAAAAAGAAACTGAAATAAAACACTTGTTCTCCTAATCCAGCTTTCAATTAATAAAAGGCTGCTATGTTAATGTGATTATTTGATTTTTCATTTGCTAAGGATATCTTAGTGTAAGGATCAACACTTTAATCTCTATTGTAGGTTTTTTTCCTTTTTCTTCTCTGACATCAGCAATCAGAGAAAAAATTTAAGTGGTTTAATTTTCCATAATATAATTATTTCACAAAATGTGTTTTCTCACTTTTATGGTTTAACCTCAGCTGGCAACTAAGAACCACACAGCTGGGCTGGACAGGACTTCAAAGGTTATGGTTCAAACTTTCTTGACAAAAGCACAGTCTAGACAAGATGGTCCAGCACCCTGACCAGCCAAATCTTAAAACTGTCCAACACTTGGGAATCCACCACTTCCCTGGGAAAATTATTCCAATCGCTGATTGTGAAAAATTTTCCTTTTGTGTCTAATCAGAATCTCACCAGTAGTAACTTGTACCCATTACCCCTCGTCTTTTTCATGGGAGTCCTTGTAAAAAGAAGTCCCCATCATCTTTATAGTCACTTTGTAAATACAGAAACAGCATGATAAGGTCTCCCTTAAGCCTTCTTTTCACAAGGTTAAACAAACCCACTTAGCTGAAGTGAAATCCTCAATTCTTTTGAGGGTATACAGTATGGGTCTCCTAATTAGTACATCCGGTGGAAACTCAATTTAAAAAAAAGACTGGAGAAAGAGTAATGAAAGTACTTGACTTGGACTAAGCACTGCTTGGCAACAACTAAACCATCACTGTGTTATCAACATTATTCTCACGCTAAATCCAAAACTCATCATGTACCAACCTGACTCTGCCAACTGGTTTTAGCAATACTGTCCAACACTTGTCATATGTCAAAGGTGAAATGTTCTCCTCTAGTACTTTTATTCAGTGCTAGCCATTTGTCTTACCCTGCTAAATATTGCTGTTTGTTCAAGGAATAAGTCACTGTTTGGAAGAAAAACCGCTTTTGAAAATAAATTCATATGCCTGACTTAAACCAACAAAGAGAAATCCTAGAAAATCCCAATTCCCTTGTGAAAAAAATACTTAAGCAAAACAAGATTTACCACTTCTTTAAGAGATTCTGGAAATGACATAGTGCACAGTGAGCATGTTTTTAAAAGGAACAGGTTTACTGTATTACTTTCTTATTTCTCCTAAGGAAAAAACATTCCTGACTGGTAACATTCAGAAAAGAAAAAAAATGGAAAAATCATGATTGAGAGCTGTATTACTTTGAGCACAGGCTGGTGGGAAATAAAACTACAGAGTAAGATTTTCACATACGGTTTTTCTTGACTGTTATTCCCAGGAGTGATGTTTATTCTCTGGCCTTTGCCACTTTACATCTCTGAGTATTTCAGTTCCTTCATGTATAGAAGAAAAAAAAGCAGTACTGGTCTAACTCTATTTAATGAGGTAATGCAAAACTGGTCTCAGAGCAGTACCCAGAGGCCTTCCACAGCTACTCTTCAGGTACTGTGACTTGCTGGTTTTCACAGGGTGGGAACAGACACCAAAAATGTCCTGACAGCCTGTACATGTTGATTCTCAGCATCCACCAGTCAACTGACTGTGACTGGTTATATACAACCATTACAACAATACAAAACTTGAGGAGTCCTGTAGTCTCTTTAGCATGATACTGTCACTTACTGGTTGTGATGACAAGGCCAGTTTAAGAAGTATGGGTTTGTCCTCCCCATTACCCTAATCCTGCTGGCACCACTCTGTGCAGCTGCACTGTAAGTCAGGTGTGGGTTAAAACTCTGAAAGGAAGTAGGGAATGGGAATTACACTTTAAACCCATATAAGAGATTCAGTTTGCAATGCATTTCCACACACAGCTGTAGCAGAAAAAATGAGGAGGTGATGAGCTGTAACAGAGTGGGAAGAGCAAGATGCTGAAGGGTCAAAAATTGCCAGGCAATTTCACACCAAGGGCAGCATCTCATGGATTCACTAAAAAGTACTACTGTCTCACTAAGTCTCTTTAGCAGTTTAAAATATATTTCTATAGATCACTATTTTCACTGATGTTGTGATATTAAAAAGAGAGAGGAATTTACAAACCAAAAATGAAAAGTCAGCATCTGATACTACATATGATGATAAAAGAGAAAGGGAGGGAACAGAGTAACATACAACTGCTGCTAGTTTTCAGAAAAGTATATGCTGAGGTATATGATCATGTCTTTTTTGTCAAACATTATTCACTATTCAAAACAGCCAGTCAACTACAGGTAACAATTAATGTTATTTACCCATTAAACCTGATAATTTAATGATGTTCTATTCATTTATTTTAAGTGGTATGACAATTTCTGCTATGTATGTCTTCCTTCTCTTTTATTTTAAAGTTATGTAAGTGGCCAAAAGTCTTGCTCTACTTAAAAGTACAAAAGCAAAAGCCTCGTTTACAGACACCATTTATTTCACATGACCGCTGAAAATGTATTCATTATGGGATGAGTATATACTCGTGTTCAGGAAACTGAGTCATGAATGCAGGTTTCCTTACCTGGCCTATCATGTCACTACAGAGAGATACTGCCACAGCTTCTGAATTCTCAGCAAGTTCTGGACTCCAGGGTGGGGTTAGTTCCTTGGTGAGAAAGAAATGAATTGATACAGATAGAGTTCATGGCATCCTTGCATCTTTTATTTACGGTAGATGCAATTTTAAAGAGAGGAATTAGCAAAGTCAGTGTGTGGTATGTGACTCAGAGACTAGTTCTGAAGTTCCAGAAAAGATATCCTTATATGAAAACCCACACTGTTCCTCCGAGTAAGAGGATGGACTCTGTTTAAGCCCATATCCCCAGATAGACAAACCCTCTGTTTTATCTACCTTACTTTTTTTTTTTTTTTTTTGGCAGCTAGTAACTTAATTTCAGAAGGTATTTTAACAATTTAACAACATGCCATTATTGAAAAGGTTATTCTTTCTCTCATCCTTTCATCAGCACTACAGAATGCAGGAGCATATAACCATTAATCAAAATATTACTCTTAATGAAAACAAATCCTTCTCAAAGGTGCATGATTGTAACAGCTAGCACTAGTGAGGCAGTGGATACCAAGTTATCGTGAAAAAGGAGTGAAGCAGGACCATCCCTCCTATTGATGAGGTCCCAGATTAGCTGAAACTACACACAAAACTTAGATAAGTGACATTTTCCTCAGAAGTTTCTAGAGCCTACACTATTTCCTTTAGGCTCTAACTGTTGAAAGTGTTACAGCCACTCTGAAAATTAAGTAACTTTTACTTAGAAATGTTACTGATTAGTTTTTTCCAGATGCCTCAGATTTGAAAGGACACATTTACAAGGTGTGTGTCAACAACAACAACAAAATAAAATGGAAAAAGCAAAACATCAGTCAGATTTCAGGCAGTCACAAGTATTTTATTTGCATGCTATTATTGTTTGTGTATCTTTCTAGATGAATAAATTACAACTGTATTGCAACTGTAGAATGGTATCTTTCAAACACTGATCTCTAGAAGTACTGGATCATTCAGAAATATACAGAAACTACAGACATATTTTAAACAGGTGTTTCCTCAAAAAATTAGTCCTACTAACTGTGTAGAGTTGTGTTGGGGAAGGAGGGAAGAGCAGGAAATGAAAAAGTATGTTTTTTTAGAATTCTAGAGGGAGAGAATATACTGAGGATAGTAAAGAAAACTCGTTTCCAACAGGTTTTCATTTAAATTTATCCTTCTCTCTGACTTAACTGGTTTTTATACTGGCTGTCTTCCGCATCTACAATAGTTACAGACCTAATGTCTAGCTTCAAAGAAACAGAGACAGAAGTTTCAGATATACTGAAGTCCTACAAACGTCATTGAAATGTCCTGCTGAGTAGTGAAGTGAGAGGTCCATTAACGACCCTGTTGAGGAGGAAAACCGTGGTGTGAACTGAGCTGACCAAGGGTCTGCTGAAGCATCCACATACCCTGGACACATCCCCTGTGCTGCCTGGCTGCTTGCCCAGCTGGCAGCGTGTGCAGAAGAAGAGGTATTGAAGATGTCCATGGGTTTTCAAGAAAGTATTGCAAGGAAGGAAAATTGAACTCACTGAGCATGAGAAGAAACTGGGTTTATTTGGAGATGTTATCAAGGCACAAGCTGCTCTACTTGTAGCATTGTTATTCCTCTTGCCCATACAGCCCACTTTGTAATGCACTTGCCACTTTTCCAGACTTCAGCCTGGACTGGAGCTGCTTTATGAACACCAAGAAGGGAATTAACCTCTGGCCACAGGAGAAGTAAAAGCAATACATATGATACTGTATGCTATGCATTATTACAATATTGCAATACACTACTGCAATATCACTACTTGTAACAGGATGAGTAAAAACAGAGTACATGCCTGTAAAGGATTACACTCAAGTATTACGGTGAATACAGCTTTGTATTTTTAGCACATTTGTTGTATTATCACAGATTCACACTCACAGATGCAGTATTTGTGTGCCTGCTAAATTTGGGAAAAGAGTCTAAATTAATGAGAAATATCTAAAATATTAAAATAATGCAGTTAGATCTATAGACTGGAATATTTCCTCTAAGCATTTTTAAAGAAGGTTCACAAGAACTGGTCTATTCTTAAGAGATGTTCTTTAGCTAATTCCTTCTAAAGAATAACACCAAGCACTAGCTAATTTGTCAGATCTAGGAAGGTAGACTTCCATTTGCAAAGATAGTGACCCATTTTTACATGGAAGAGTGGGAAGAGAGCCTTTTTCTCTCCTCTTGGAATGGTTCAGAGGACTTTGGCTGGAATTCATCAAGCTGCATAAGCATGGGCTTACTCTTAGGCTCCTTTGTAATTATGCAGACAATTACTCAGCACCAGAAATGCACCTGAACTCCACCATTTCTACAACATGCAAAACCCAAAAATTAAGCTTATAAAGTAAATCAATAGTCAGAGAATCAATTAATAATCAACAGATAGGAAAGGACACTGAACTTTAAGTCTGCTAAAACATCTTTCTTTCTTTAGTGTATGAGACCTTTATCTATATACGAAATGTCACTAGTGAATAATTGTGAAGTTAAAAGAAATTTGCAGTAATTAGAGGCAGAGTTGAGCACTGAAACATTCCCTCTAGGGACACTTACTCAAATACTGCCTTGTTTAAATGTTAGAGTATTTAGGCTAAAACTTAAATAATGATAATTATCCACAGCCCACAGGTGACTGACTGATTACTGATGAGTGATGGTTAAAATTAAACTAATTTATCAACTTTATATGTAAATACTACATAGCATGCTATAAAACTGAAATTCCTTATTAGAACACATATATATGCATGTCTTCATCAGTGTCGGGCCAAAAAGATCTTGTAAAAATTATACAGTCTTTGTGTTTGTCCCATTCTGTGGATGCCCAACCCCTGCAAGTGTTCAAGGCCAGGTCATATGGAGTCCTGAGCAGCCTGATCTAGTGGGAGAAATCCCTGCACATGACAGGGATGATCTTTAAGGTCCCTTCAAACTTGAGCCTTTTTATGATTCTATGAATGTAGATTATTCAACCCATGTGACTGGCTGATTTTCTCCAGATCACACAGAGATTTTTATTTTTGTTTCAAGCTGTATTTGTTTCTCCCTAGATCCTTCCCCTTCAGATCTTGTTCCTGACTGACCTCAACAACAATAAACTACAACCAAGCATGCCAATGAGAAGTACAGCCTGAGCATACAGGATGCTGAGATATGACTCTCAGAGAGAGATGTCAACCTCACAAATGTCATTAAAGGTCATAGTGTCAAAAATTTTAAAAAGTAATTTCTTAGATGCATATTCTCTGAGGGAAAGTTTTAAAGACAGTAGTAAACATATGGGGACAAAGAAACAGTTGCTGTTGTTGAGGAAGGAAACCCATGCAGTTTAAAGAACAAAAAAAAAAGTGTGGGAGTACAGGGAGGCAAATTTGAATGAGGAAAACCACAGTTGGCTGAATGCATTCTAGGAAAAAGTGAATGAAGACCACAGAACTTTATAAGAATGATGTTAGAAAGATAATGACATTAACTGAATACACTGGTCAGAAATTTCATGAGATAAGCAAAAAGTAGGGTTCAGCTTCTACATTTCCTATTTGGCCCCAAGATCACTCTTTTAAAATAGCTACACATATAAGGAGCTATGTTTTCTTTCCTGAAGTGCAGAACAATTTTATCAGCATGTATGAGTATACTAGTGTGTGAGGTCCATATTCATACTGTGATTTCAATGTTTATAAATAGTTACAGATTGAGCATATATTGTATGGAACATATATGTGAACTTTGGTATCCTGTATTATTGATTTGTACAAGTCACCTTCAGTGTCAATTAGCAGCCCACCTGTGAAGGGAGCATGCAGTTCCCATCTTAGTCTTTCACAGAATCCTCCCTTATGTGTATGTTCACTTATAGAAATAGTTGTGAACTTCCAACAGGGAGTTCTCCCTAATCATTACTAAAGAATATAAATGTTAATCTGGTTGTCCTTTTCTCTTTCTGTCTCTTTCTCTGCAGAAATGTTATGAACAATGGATCACTCCTGGAGAAAAAAAAAATTGCACTTAAAGCAAAAAAAAGCACTTAAAACAACCCAGCAATAAAAAGTTCATTCCCAAATTTCTAGTTTCCTTACTTCCAATCCCATACACAATCTATCACCTTGATATCTAGAGATCTCTGTAATAACACTTCTGTAAAGATAAATCGGGTTCACCTTTGGACTAACTATTTTCTTTGCAGTACAGATTAGAATGCATTGATTAAGGAAAAAGAAATCAACCGAAAAAACACAACTTGTCTCTATATGAAAGTTTACACTGGACTAGAAATTGAGTCTTTGTGACCTCATCCTGTGCTTAAGTGACAGGAGATTCAGTTACTCTGAATCATTCTGAATTACTCGGATCATTCTGAAATGATCAAAAATTGTTGAAGTGAATTGCAGCATTAAAAGTGGATTTGTGCCCAGGAATTAGGCTATATTTAAAGGCTTTGTAGGTTTTTTTTGGTTTTTTGGGTTTTTTTTTGCAGGCTGAAGAATGGAATATTGGACAGCAGACGATAGAAGATAATTTGTTGAATATTGAGAGTAAGAATGGCAAGAAAGTATCCAATTTTATTTCATCCAGTCTTAGCTTTGTTTTAAATAGAGAAAAGTAATTTAATAATGAATTCCCCATATAACATAAATAATAACTGTTTCCAATGCTTATCTCATGTTCTCTATGAAAAATAAAAGAATATAAAATTACTATCATTATCTCCTGATGGTTTTGGCTCTTTATCAAAGATAGACCTAATCTGATCTGCCTGTGCCCTATACTGAGATTTTCTATTGGAAGTTGCACTGCAGCATTCATCATTTGTGAAGTTTCAGGTTGCTCTTTTTGTTCTACATAGACATAATGCTTCATCAGACTTCTAAGATATTTCTATCTAAAATAATTGAAAATAAAATATTTGTTCAGATTCCCTATTTGGAATAAACATTTCTTTGGCATAAAATAGGTGATTCAAACCTGAAACCTAGATAGGAACTGAAAAAAAGTTTTTCAGTTACTTGAGGCAGCATTACTT